AAAGTAAACTTTAAGATAAAAACCAGCATAAGAGATAAAGAAGGACACTATCTCATGATCAAAGGGTCAGTTGAGCAAGATGACATAACCATAATAAATATCTACATGCACACAATGGAATACTATGCTACCTTGAAAAACAAGGAAGCTGCAAGCCATTGCATAACATGGATGAACTTTGAAGACATTATGCTGAGTGAAATTAGTCAGTCACAAAAGGAGAAACATTGCATAAGACTATTATTGTAAAAGATTAAGAAAAAGAACCCACCCAAAAGGGAGGGGGGACCTAAAAATATAAGTGCTGATCACCAGTATGTATGGGATGAGAGGTGGGGAGGGAAGGGAAGAAAGAGCATGGGGTAAGGAGTAGACACAGGAGAGCCTGGGAGCTGGGGAGTGGGAGGGGAAAAAGAAGAACGATTGGGTAGGCTCACATGGGCTAGGTGGGGCAGAGGTAAATGAGGATGTATGTACAACCTTGGAATAACAGGGCTACAGGATACAGGTATTGAGGCATGACTTGAAAGGGGAAAAGAGGGGAATAATGGTAGGATGCATGGCTGTCTTTTGAATCTTGGTTTCCCTTGCCTACCATTGTGAAATAGACACTTGGGGATGTGTGTGTGTGTGTGTGTGTGGGGGGGGGAGACTAGCCAAAAACATCACAACAGAAAACATGTAAGCCTATCTTCAGCCTATAACTGACTGGAATACCTTGGGGGTGGGGTGGGGCTGGAAACTACCCAGACCCAAGATGGGGAGGGTACTATAAAGGTGAGAAGTGACTGGCTTGCAAGCTTTCAAGAGGGAGCCTAATTCCAGACAGGGCAGGGATAGGTAGAACCTCCACTGAATGATTTCCAAACTGTTGGGACCAGGCTGATGAAAGGAAATGGGGATAAGACTCTTGTGGTACAACAGTGAATACCTGCCACCAGGACTGACTACGAGGGTCAGAAATGTAGAGGCAGACTTTTTTTTTCCCCTTGGCAAAAGGAGGAGATTGATTTTGCAGCCCAAGAGCAGAAGTCCCTTGGACCACTAAGCAAGAAGAGCAGAAATTGTGACCCTACCCAGGGAGGCAGTGAGGCCAGATGTGGAGACAGAAATGATGGTGTGGACAGATGGAGTGGCTGGGGACACGGGACTCAGGGAGGGAGAGGAGCTGTCTGCTGACTGATAGCCGGGGCGTGGGGGTGGGGGCGGCCTGTGAGGTGTATCCTTTGGTTGTTTGATGATGCACGGAGGGGATTGTAATCATTGCAATGCAATGAAATATGATAGGATGAATGTGAAGCTGAAGTGGGACAGAGGCAAATAATGATGTATGCACAACCTTGGAACAACAGGGCCCTG